TGGTGCACCTCTCTTTGATGCTTCTTGAGAGACTTTTTGTCAGCACAGTATAGGACACAGCCAGGTTCGCTGCAGGAGATTTTTACGGTAGTAGGAGATGAAAGAATGGGATCAGACATGCTGAAGTCTGCTATGTATGTGTTAAGGAATAAGGATCAGACTGGGTAATGCTTTAGGCTAATAAGTTAAATGTATGTGGTGAGACTGTAGACAGAATTGTGTTCTCTGGCAGCAGACCCTCTTCCCATGGATAGGTCTTTATATAGGGAAATATGGCCCCTCAGCCCGCGGGAGAGCTCAATCCACCAAGTTCAAGTAATATTAAAGTCAAAAGATTCCATGCTTGTTGCAGATGAAAATGTGTGATCAGATAGAGCCAAAGTCACTCACAGGGAGGTGGTCCCTTGAAAGGAAGATCCAGAATCATCCCAAGAAGAAAATCACCCTGCTAATAGAGCTGAAAGTAGCCCACAGGGAGGTGCGACTTGGAAACCAAGACCCAGCACACATGCCAGAAGATTGCATGCTTGTTGAAGATGAAAATGGATGATTAGATAGAGCTGAAAGTCACTCACAGGGAGGTGGTCCCTTGAAAAGAAGATCCAGAATCACCCTGCTAATAGAGCTGAAAGTAGCCCACAGGGAGGTGCGACTTGGAAACCAAGACCCAGCACACATGCCAGAAGATTGCATGCTTGTTGAAGATGAAAATGGATGATTAGATAGAGCTGAAAGTCACTCACAGGGAGGTGGTCCCTTGAAAAGAAGATCCAGAATCACCCTGCTAATAGAGCTGAAAGTAGCCCACAGGGAGGTGCGACTTGGAAACCAAGACCCAGCACACATGCCAGAAGATTGCATGCTTGTTGAAGATGAAAATGGATGATTAGATAGAGCTGAAAGTCACTCACAGGGAGGTGGTCCCTTGAAAAGAAGATCCAGAATCACCCTGCTAATAGAGCTGAAAGTAGCCCACAGGGATGTGCGACTTGGAAACCAAGACCCAGCATACATGCCAAAAATCAGAAGCCATTCACCAGTTGATAGAGGCAAAGATGACTCACAAGCAGGTGAGGCTTGAGACGCCAAGAGTAATAAGGAAACACCTGATTTAACAAGCTGAAACTCTCTCCGAGGGAGGTGACCCTTGGATGAACCAGAATGCCCAGATTACCCAACCACCAGAAAATAATTTGATTGGTAAAGCCAGAGTATGCACAAAGATCAGCAGGACATGCCAAATGAGATACGTCTTACAAATCAAGAATAATCAAAACGGCCACAGTTGATAGAGCCAGACCTCCTCACAAGGAGCTGGGACTTGGCGCGGGAGAATCATCATCATCAACCAAACGAGTATGTTGGTGGTCCCATTTCCCAGCCACAGGCTGGTGGCATGGAGGAAAGTGATCTCACTGATATTCCCAACTCCAAACGTCCTGTCAGGTCAAGCTGAAACTTGTTGACATAGACGTGAGAAATGCCAAACCAGAATTCAATCAGACTCATTCAAGAGGCGAAAATCAACTAGTTAATAGAGGCGAAGCTTGCTCACAGGGAGGTCCAAGTTGGAAAACCAGTCCCAGATAGTGTCAGTCAGATAAGCAACAATATCATATGGCCACAATAACTACATGAGAGGTGAGAGTTTCAAATCCAAATCCAATGATCCTCTGACCACTCAATCAAGCCAAACAATGCCCACAGGGATTTGAGACTTACTTCCAGATAGTGCTACCAGAATAAACAAATAATCAACCATGATTTAATACAGCCAACGATTGCAGCAATGAAATACCAAAAAAGCACAAGAGAGCAAAACAGATAATAGAGCTTCAACACCCTTAGCCATCCTGCCAGGACCAAACGAACAAAAAATCAGCTACTTGATGGAGCTGAACTTTTCCCAAAGGGAGGTCAATCTTGCAAATTGAGACCAGAATTCAGCACACACCAGGCTCAGGAGTTTAGACAAGGGGACATTAGAAGTCAAACCCATCACACCCTGCCACCTGAAGACACAGCCTCACCAGACCAAGCTGCTTTAGGCAGCATAGAGGAGAACTCACAGCAGGCAGAGAACTCACAGCAGGCAGAAAGGAGAATGAATTTCCACACAGTGACAAGCAGAAAAGGCAAAAGCCCAACAGGAAGGAAAAAGAACGATAAGCCAAGCATCATGAAAAGAAAGGCAAGCCAGAACAACCACTCCAACACAGCATAGTGTAAAACAAAACGACAAAAAAGAAAGAAAGAAAACAACAACAAAGACAACTAATCCACTCCAGCCACCACATCCACAAACTTGGGCTCTTTCCTCCTGCGGTTTCTCTCCTCTGCACTTTCGTCTCCGTCTTCGTCTTCCTCTTCATCTTCGTCTTCTTCTTCATCGTCAGAGTACTGCGTAGGCGTTGGTTGTCTATTCTTTCCTGAACGAACTGAGGAATCTTGAGGCTCGCTCGGAGGGGTTGAGGGTTGCCTGGGTGCCTTTTTCTTTGTGCGGCGGGGGATTGGCGAGTCGGAACGATCACTGCTGGGGGGAGCTGGATTCTCTTTGTTTGCGGCTGATGATGGCTGGGCGTTTGGTGGTGGCGTGGGTTCTTTATCCTTCTGGGAGTCTGGTGGTCGTTGCGAACCAGAAGTCCCCTGAGCCGGCTGAGATTGATCAATGCTAAGGCCACGCATTGCATCAGCCGCTGAGACATCTGGACTCATCTCTGCTTCGTCCAACGTGATGAGATGCTGTGCCACCGCGGGGTCCCAAGCCGATCTAACCGTCTCTGTGATCTGGCGAACCTCCTCCTCCTGTGCCTCCGGCAAAGTCATCGGCGGAGCTGGATTACCATCCAGGTTGAGCGATCAACCGGGCAAGTTGCACTCCCTCAGGATATCGTGTAAAGCGAATCGTGCGATATTCTCATCGGTGACCCACTTGTTGAAAGTTCGGGGAGCAATGTCCCAGTCCATCTTGAAGGGATCACTTTGGGTGACATTAGCCGAGCGGAGTACGAAACGGATGAAGCTGTCGGTTGTGTACCAGGGGGTGCACTCGGGGGCCCTGAGAGCGTATCGTCCATCCGTGTACAAGTATTCGTGTCTAGCGTGAGCGAGCATTACCAGAGACCAAACATCCTTCTGATTGTATGCACTGTTGTTATAGAGGCAATGCCACCATCCAGCTGCGCCTTAAAGAAAATAAACCGCCATTGAACCGAACGCTCCGAGTCGAAGTTTACCCCAATCCTTTCTCTGCTTGTCTGTCAATTCTGTGGTGATATCACCTTTGTCAAAGATTGATCGTCCGCGGTCGTTGGCTACCATGTCCTCTGTTAGCTTGGCGACCTCATCTTCCCAAATGTGGCCTGCCTTCAGCGTTGCGCATTCCTCCAGAAAACGAGACTGCTGCATCATGAGGATACAAAGAAGTGTTTCCCAGATCCGTCTTTGAATTACCAAGAAGCCGTTCCCCGCACGTGAGTTGGACCCGGTTGTCTGTGCCGCGCCTGCCTTGAGGCACCTAATTTTCCCAATGATGTACTTGCCGGCATTAGACATCGAAGCTAGCATGTCGTCCTCCTTATTGCCAGTTTCTGCTTGTGGTTCGCCCATGACAGTAAACTTGTGCAGCTGGTTGTACGAGTCGGCCGCCAATGTCGCCAGCCGTGATTGTCCATAGGAGATCAATTTTGATGTTGGCCCATCTGGTGTAAACTCGTGAGAATCGTCCATCCGGCACATCATTGACCCTATGACTGACCACGCATGAGCCTTGTCATCTTCTTTCGATTCGAATCCCTCTTTCAGCAGTTTGAAGTTGACCACTGCAGGTTTCCAGAAGGGATCTTCCGCATCGACCTGAAAGAGCCTAACCGCTACAGGGAAGAAAAGACCATTAGGCCAGAGTGTCAGAAAGATGGCCACCTGAGCAGGGCGAGAGATGAAAAACAGACAAACCTTTATGAAGACAAGATTTGTATTGCCTGCCCGAAAGCACCCCGAGGACTTGGACTGTTGAACTTTCGAGTTGGAACAGGTCCTTGCGCGTATAGAATGATTCCCGATAAGTATTGTTTTTCGACCATTCGATCATTTGTCGCACCTTTAGCAAGAGTTCCGGTCCAAAGTCCCAACGAGTGCACTTTGAATTGTCAATCATTCGCTGGTACTGGTCAGCCGAGGCCATGACCTTGCTCATGTCCCAAATACCTGAAAGGAGAGCTGGTGCCAGAGAGCAACATGTCAGTTCAGCTACCAGATGGACGGTGACACCAGATTAAAGAAGCTCACCTCCTGTGGTTGGAATGCTAAAGAATTTTTTAGATGACTTTGCCTTCTCCTTTCTCTCGTCGTCCGTTTTTTTTCCTCTGCAGTCATGTCCTTGCGAAGTTTCTTTGGCGGTTGTTCTGGAACAGCCTCCTTCCCTTTCCCTTTGCCCTTTCCCTTCTTGGTGCCTGCCTCTGGTGCTGTCTTTTGAGAGTTGTCTGGCTGACTAGGTGCTGGTTCTTGAGCAGTAGTGGTCTGGCCTGGAGCAGACTGAGAGGCGGCAGGGGTTGGTGCAGTGGACTGGGCTGGGCCCCTTGGAGCATCTGTTGATTGAGAGGCAGAGGCAGCGGCCGGTGGAGCAGACTGAGAACTAGCCGGAATTGGTGCGACAGATTGAGCTGGTCCAGAAGCAGGGACTGTGGCAGAATTAGTTGTCAAAGTGGATGCCGGAACTGGTGGCGGTGGAATCGTAGCAGCTTCCGCGAGATCAGCTGCCAGAGCAGCCTCAGCAGCAGCCCTCCTTCTTTCCCTGTGAAAAGCTGCCTTTGCTGCAGCTAAAGGATCAGCGAATCCCTTAGCTGAATTGTTGTAGGGCGGCGGAGTCGAAGCGTTGGATTCCTGGATGATTTCCTGCTCTTGAATTGCAGCCAATTCGCGACGTTCCATTTCCAATTGGGTCACCGTTTTCTGAGCCCCAGGTTCAAACTGGGGCACCAAGTCCGCCAGGTACGAGTTCCCAGTGCTTGACGAGTCTGAAGCCAAGAGGACTGAGTTAGAATTAAGAAAGAGAGACAGAGATGTCAGAGAGGCAAGACAAAAACCTACTATCTTGAGACTTAGCCCGCTTATTCATGTTCTGACTGAGCGAGCTTGATGAGGCTGAATCAGATGAGAAAGGAGTGTGGTCAGGTAGCTGCACAAGAACATGAGACCCGATAACCCAAATCAACCTACCGGATCTTTTTGTTGGAGGATTGAGATGTGATGGCAATCGAACCAATCCCGGCCTCATGAAGTCCTTGAGTTCTGCAACCGACCTTCTACGTGGCATGATGCTCACTTCTTCACCCTCACCGTCTGAGATCTCAATGACCTCAATTTCCTGTCTTCCGTCGCGTGATGCCTCTAATACCTTATCCTCGAGATGGTTCATGAAGCGTGTGATGTACCGAGCGTTCTTCATCAAACCGTCTAGCACCCCAGGGAAAGCTACCATTCCACTAGCACTCTTCATTTCCTTGAAAGCAAGTAATTGTGCGTCGGCGACCTTTTTTACTGTTTACAGAGCAATTCCAGGGACAAGTCAGATGTGTGCTCTTCTACCAGATTGTAGCCAATGAATAGACACTTACAAGATTCCTTCATCTTTTGGAGTTCCTTCACATTCATCAAAGCCATTGCAGCCTCGTCTGGAAGTTGCATTGTTTTCATTTCACGGTCCAATTGAGCCAACGTCTGAGTTTTTGACGGAAGATTGTGGCGGACCTGATTTGAGAGGAAGTTGGGCATAAACAAGCTGACTTGTTTTTTTTGAGTTACTGGGGCTGGCGGATGACGAGCGGAGTTTGACTCAACTGGAGCAGCCTCCTTGTTGATGGAGCCAGTGACCTTTGTAGACGTTCCCATCGGGACCAGTTTGTTGACGAGAGCCTCCAAGTCGCTGGGCAGTGCCTTCTTTGACTGGCCAAGAGAGCTGAAGTCGAATCCCATGACCTCGCCAGTGTGAGCGGCCGGAGTTGAGGTCACCGGCAGCTGGTCAGTGTGAGACTCAGACAGAGGGCTGAACCCAATGCTATTTTCTACGCTAGGGGCCGGCGACGTTTCCTTCTGTTTCCCCTTGCTCTTCTTGGGACTCTTAGGTTGTTTCGGCGAAGTGGGAGTCTTGGGAGGAGAGCCTGGTTGCAGCGGGGTTGATGACTGCAAAGAAGAACCAGCAGAAAGGGAGATATGAATTTGGTTGTTCACATGGACCATCTGAGCCAGGATGCCCAGGTGCTCTGCACTCAAGTCTGAGGGTGAGATATCCCCAAACTCTAATTCACAGGCCTCCTGGGTGCCTACACCCAGGAAGTTGGTGAGACCAACCTGCCCAGACAGCTGGAGAGAAAGATGATGAGCAGCCACTGAATGAGCCCAGAAATCTCATTCAATGAGCCAAAAAAAACCGGCTTACGTTTTGAGTAGGTCCATCCCAGTCCATCTCACGAGCTGCACTATTGTTCGTCCCAACCGCAGCCGTATTCTCCTTGTCAGCAACGTCCACGTCCAACTCCATGTCCTCGCGAGGTGTGTTCCTCAAGTCGTGAGCTCTCTTCTCAGTAGGACTCATCGGCTTCTTCTTTTGTGGACTCAAAGGCTCCACGGTTGCCAAACGAGCAGATCTCCTCGGGCTAGGGACCGTGAATCCATCGGCGGTGTTTGTTGATACCATTGTTGAGTTGTAACTACCAAAAACATATGATAATAAAGTACTTTGATCTTGAGCAAAGTGCCAACCCCACATAGACCTCAAGTGAAAGGGAGCTACTTACCAGAATAAAGGTCTTCCAAGAGGGGAAGGAGAGAGTTGTTGACAATATCTGTTCATATGAAATAACAGCCAACATCAACAGTTAGTCCAAATCCAAATTCACACCTCACCTCAGGCCCAAGGGAGGTCACCCATGAAAAATGAAAGACCAGGCAAACACTTACAAAAAAAAAGATAATTCAATAGAGCACACAGAAGAGACTATTCAAGATATGGGGACAGAGATATCTGCAGAGACTGTGAGAAGAATGTAGCAAAAAGCACAGACAGAATCAGCGAAACCAGGCCAAAGAAATTGAGAAAGTGCAAGCAGAGCCCCTGCCTTGACCTGGTGATGGAGGGAGGTACTCACTGAAAAGGAGGTTTCCCAGTGAAGCAACAGGGGTGTAGGAGGCCTTTATATAGACAAAGGAGGTGCAGTCAGCAGCAAACCCCCCAAAATTGCAAATAAACCAAAGCAGAATTGACCACTTGACCTCAAGCTGAAGGTAGGTACTCACAGTGATTGATGGTTCCTGTGGGTGACTCTACAGGGGGGGAGCAAAGGGGTCTTTATATAGCCAAGGGAGGTCCAGTCAACAACAAATCCTCCAAAATTACATAGAAAAAAACAAGAAATTATCACTTGACCTCAAGCTGAGGGGAGGCACTCACAGTGATTGATGGTTCCTGGTGACTCTACAGGGGAGAACAAGGGGTCTTTATATAGCCAAGGGAGGTCCAGTCAGCAACAAATCCACCAAAATTACACAGAAAACAAACCAGATTTTTTCACTTGACCTCAAGTTGAAGGGAGGTACTCACGGTGATTGATGGTTCCTGTGGGTGACTCTACAGGGGGGAGCAAAGGTGTCTTTATATAGCCAAGGTAGGTCCAGTCAACAACAATCCCTCCAAAATTACACAGAAAACAAACCAGATTTTTTCACTTGACCTCAAGTTGAAGGGAGGTACTCACGGAGATTGATGGTTCCTGTGGGTGACTCTACAGGTGGGAGCAAAGGGGTCTTTATATAGCCGAGGTAGGTCTAGTCAGCAACAAATTCCCCAAAATTACACAGAAAACATACAGGAAATTATCACTTGACCTCAAGCTGAAGGGAGGTACTCACAGTGATTGATGGTTCCTGTGGGTGACTCTACAGGGGGGAGCAAAGGTGTCTTTATATAGCCAAGGTAGGTCTAGTCAGCAACAAATCCCCCAAAATTACACAGAAAACAAACCAGAATTTTTTACTTGACCTCAAGTTGAAGGGAGGTACTCACTGAGATTGATGGTTCCTGGTGACTCTACAGGGGAGAACAAGGGGTCTTTATATAGCCAAGGGAGGTCCAGTCAGCAACAAATCCACCAAAATTACACAGAAAACAAACCAGATTTTTTCACTTGACCTCAAGTTGAAGGGAGGTACTCACGGTGATTGATGGTTCCTGTGGGTAACTCTACAGGGGGGAGCAAAGGTGTCTTAATATAGCCAAGGGAGGTCCAGTCAACAACAATCCCTCCAAAATTACATAGAAACCAAAGCACAAATGACCACTTGACCTCAAGTTGAAGAGAGGTACTCACGGAGATTGATGGTTCCTGTGGGTGACTCTACAGGGGAGGCAAAAGAGGTCTTTATATAACAAAGGGAGGTTCAGTCAGCAGCCAATCTTCCTAAATTACAAAGAAAACAAACCAGAATTTCTTACTTGACCTCAAGCTGAAGGGAGGTACTCACGGAGATTGATGGTTCCTGTGGGTGACTCTACACGTGAGAACAAGGAGGTCTTTATATAGCCAAGGGAGGTCCAGTCAGCAAAAAATCCTCCAAAATTACACAAAAACAAACCAGAATTTATTACTTGACCTCAAGTCGAAGGGAGGTACTCACAGAGATTGATGGGTCCTGTGGGTGACTCTACAGGGGAGAACAAGCAGGTCTTGATAGACAACAGATGACAAGTCAGCTGGACAGCCAGATTAAACAGAGGCTTGCGGGTGAAGCAACAGGGGGTTGGCCTTTATATAGAAATGAATTCCTTCCTGTCAGTAGCAAATCAACCAAAATTACTAAGAAACAATTACAGAATTTACACTTGACCTCAAGCTGAGGGGAGGTACTCACAGAGACTGATGGTTCCTGTGGGTGACTCTACAGGGACTTGACCTCAAGCTGACAGGAGGTACTCACCAAGCTGGATGTATTCCCAGGATGACACTACAGGGGAAGACAAGAGAAGCCCCATCAGGGGCAAATGACAGCCAGATTTCACCCTTGACCCAGGGATGAAAGGATGTACTTACCAAAGGTGAGATTTGGTGTGGACCAACCAGGCGCAGAAATGCAGCCCTATATAAACAACAGAGCCTGGTCAGTCAAAGTTCCACAAAATCCAAATGAAACCGAATCAGAATTTGTCACGTGACCTCAAGATGAAGGGAGTTACTCACTGAAATTCTTTCCCCTTTTGGGTGACTATCAATAAAATCAGAACAGTTGATGACAGGCCCTTAAACACACAAGACCTTGATAGCCGGAGGCAGTATCTGAAGATGGGCATTTTTATAGAGCACAGAAGACAAGTCAGCATCAATCCAACAGAAATCACAAGCAATGGAACCAGACTTTTCCCCTTGACCTCAACCTGAAAAGAAGTGCTCACTGAGATTGCTGTTTCCTGTGGGTCAATCTGCAGGAAAGAAAGACAGGGTCAATGGGACAATCTTTAAAAACACAGTTGAAGTCACAGGGGAGCAAAGGATTCATATATCAAACACACAAGCCAAGTCAGCAACACCAAATCAAAGTTCAAATAAATCAATAAAGAAGCTCCCCATGACCCCAAGGTGGACAGAGGTACTCAACAAGATTTTTGATTCCTGTATGTGACACCAAGTTTGCAATGTAATTCATCAGCAGCCACATTTTACACCTTTGCCACATCATGGAAGGAGGCACTCACTGAGCTCCAAGTATGTGGGTGGCACCAAGTGGTTGGAAAACACCTGCTATTAACTTACAGATCAATCATGAGCACCAGACCTGAAAGTCAACCAAATTAACCCAGGTTGCCATGATGGAAGCTGTTACTCACTGAGAAATCAGTATGTGGAAGGATACAATTGATGTTCCATCCTGTACCTATTCAAAAATGTTTGACAACAATCAAATCAAGTACTCCCCCACAGGAAGTATTAACTGCAAAGGGCACCTCTCAAACCCAAATCAATTGAGCCCCAGACCCACTTGCAGCACCCAGCCTGCTGATCAAATGAATTACTCACAGATGATGGGATAATGGAAAGGTCACAGATTAAAAGCCTATTCAAAAATCATTCCTTGCAGTTAAAAACAGATAAGACAATCAAAATCAAACTCCATACAAAGAAAGTACTAACAATTTTATCCAGCAAACCAAACAAATGCTAACAATGTCTGAAGTGTAATATCAAACCAAGCAGGAAAGAATCTTAGTACAAATATCAATACTTTTTGATGCCAACACGCGGAGACCAGCAGAAACTTTAGCCGGAGCAAAAACAGCCAATTAAGCCAAGCCCTATTTATGCGCAGGCGACCGCAGGAATATATCGTAAAGACCTCGATTTTTGAAAATGTGAATATAATAATGAAACAAATTAGAAGGTCATCAGCACCGACCAGCCAACTATTCCTACATTCCCATAAGCAGAGCCGAACTAGCAGAGTGTTCAACTGAACCATCCACACCTTGCAATCGTCTCCAAATGGAGCCAGACGCAATCTCAGACAAGTTCTGAATGGTCATCATAACCACAAAAATCTAATCAGTAAGCGAAGGCCCGCCAGTCGGAGAAAAACACAAAGGAGATATAGCTATTGCGCGAGATTGAACCAAACATTACCTATCGGATTTTCCTACCTGTTCTCGATCCAGCTCAAACCAAAGATGCTGATGAAAACCAAGTGGCCTCGCGGTAAATATCCTGTATAGTTCAGCCAAGCAGGTGTATCAGTAAAGGATCAACATTATCAAGTTAAAGCAATGAGGTCAAACGAAACACACCCAACCAAAAAAGACCAGTATGAATCGCCTATCGATAATGAGACCGTCTTATCGGGTAGAAACTGCCGCTGCATAAAGAAGCATAGATAGATAGTGAGGTCAGCTTGAGCTCGACATCATGTCCAATCAGCAGAAATTAAGCCAAATCTTCTCCAGTTCCAGATCGACATCCCATTTCTCCTGCAGACCTCGAGTTCAATCACCCCGGCTCGAGGTCGACATACCCTCCAATATCCAGATCGACCTCGAGGCAAAAACCATCCAACACAAGGTTGACATGAGAGATTCAGGTAACATACACAACACCCACCAAAAAACTAGAAACCGCGCCACTAGATCGCTTTCGTTCGAGGTCGAGTGCAAACCATCCAGTCAATGTTAACTAGATGAAACCCAAAAAAAGCATCCATCGTCTTCAGATCGCTTCCGAACGCGGGTAAAGGAATCGATAGCATACCTCAACACCAAACTGTTCTGTTGTCCTTCTATATCAACGAATCTTAAACGATATTGCACCTATAGATCCCCCCGTTCGTGGTCAGTTGAAGATGAAGACAAACAAGAATCGGAGCCGTCCAGTCCAATCTACTTCAGCTCGATGACGACGTCCCCTCCACTCTGCTGGTCAACCCCGAGATCAAAATAGTTCAAACCGAGGTCGATTCCAGCGTAGTCCAATCGATTGTTGAGGCTCAACTGCTAAACAACACAAGGGTTAATTACCACAAAAGGAGCCTCGCCGTTCAGTCTCGCCAGATCAACCTCGAGGTGAAAGGCGTTTAACTCAAGGTCGGTATCGGAGATGTAAGCGCGTTACACACGAATCAAGACTAACCACGAGACTACCAAACCACGCCACTAGACTATTTTCGTACGTCTTCATAACCGAATCCATCATTGAGTTTTAAACAGAGGGGACACAAAGGGACACATACCGTATGGGGCACCCAGGCGCTTGCAGAGAATTTCCAGAACCAGGATCTTCCTCAAGTGCGTCACCGAGGTCCAACACAAGACGAAAGCCCGGCCGTAGTCGTAGGATCTGTGTAGAAACGGTCAGGCCCTGCCAAAGGTAAAGAGAAGTCGAGTCCGCACCAAGGCAATGAATGGTCGTATGAAAAGAATCAGAAGTCAGCCAGACGAGCAAGATGATATCCTATTTGGTGTGTCTGATCGTCTCTGTACGGATTCCTGGGCCAACTGATGAAATCCAAAGGGAGGGAGAGTTCGATTTCCAACGCGTTTGGGGTGGGAGGTCGAGCTGAGATGAGGATGAGCACAGATCGGCCTTTGAGGTTGAAGTCGAGCTGAGATCATGATGAGCACAGATCGGCCGGACCCTCACAGCTCGGTCTGAAGCTGTCACGCCCCGCATGTCACAAGACTTCAAACCCAAGACCTCGAGCCAAAAATCGATCGTCTCGAGGTCAACCCATATCCAGCATTTCAATGTATGATCCATCAGGGACCCGGCACAGACCTCAAGCTGAAAAAGATTCAGCTGGAGGTCCATCCCTAGAGTTACAGGGGACCTTGAGTTGAATCTCTTTCACCTCGAGGTCGACACCCCCCCAATACAGACCTCGAGCTGAAAGAGATTCAGCTCGAGGTGGTCTAGTCTATCCTCCATCCATAACAAGACCAACGGACCTCGAGCTGAGTATTATTCAGCTCGAGGTCGAACTCGTATGTCTTGTCCCGCCCTGACCTTGAGCTGAAGACAATTCAGATCGAAGTCCATCCATCATGCGTCAAAATCGTTGTCCTTTGCCTCACTCCACGACCTCGAGCTGAAAACGATTCAGCTCGAGGTCTCTCCCTCGGAATAATATTCTCAAGCGACCTCGAGCTGAGTCTTCTTCAGCTCGAGGTCAATCTCATTTGCCTCACCCACGACCTCGAGCTGAAAACGATTCAGCTCGAGGTCTCTCCCTCAGAATCATATTCTCAAGGGACCTCGAGCTGAGTCTTCTTCAGCTCGAGGTCAATCTCATTTGACTCCACCACCAGACTACGAGCAGGCTGACCTCGAGCTGAAAACGATTCAGCTCGAGGTCTGTCCTTCAGAATCAGATTACCGAGGGACCGACCTCGAGCTGAGTCTCCTTCAGCTTGAGGTGCCATTCCTTTTCCTCAACCTGCTACCACCGACCTCGAGCTGAAAACGACTCAGCTCGAGGTCGGTCCGACTTCACACAGAATCACAGGCAAACTTGAGCTGCATTGTTTGCAACTCGAGGTTGACACCCGCCACAGACCTCGAGCTGAATTGCCTTCAGCTCGAGGTCGATTCCTCTTCATCCCAAGCCGCAGGGGACCTCCAGACCTCGAGTTGAAATAGTTTCGGCTCGAGGTCGATGCGGGCCGTGGGCCGGGCCGGGTCGGGCCGGGCCTGGTTTCGCTTGCCCCAGCTCAGCCTGAATGGGTCTTCATCTGAACTTGACATGGGTGGTTTGCAAGTTTGTGTACATACATCTGATCTCAAAAACTGATCAGATAGTTGCTTCTTATTGCTGGAATTCAAATATCATTATTGTTCTACTGTGTGGTTGTAATATAACTTTGCATATCTGATCATGGTCAAATAGTGTGATGATATGAATTAAAGGCAAAAACAAGAAGGTAACAATTCTGAAGCAGTGGATGAGGGGTTGGAGCGCGTAAAATGAGAGTTCTTAGTTAGGGTCAAACAAGAAAGACTATAAATCTGGAAGATCATCAAATTGTACATTTGATTGTATTTCTCTTTGATCATATTTCGCCTGTGGTGAAATTCTGCCTCTTCTGTTTTTACAATCACTGCAAAAAACCTTCCTGAAATAAATATTGTTCACAAATTGTATAGACCATCCAATTAACTCCAAGTCATACAAAAACAAACCAGTGGAAGAGCTGAGTGAAACACGCTGGATGGCCGACACTGAAATTAGACAGTACAAGTGTAAATGGAGCAAGGGTTCCAGCTCGACAGAGCCCAACAGATTACAATGGCAAAGATCATATGCTCATTTAGTAGGGGGCATATTTATTCAAATTTAGATGAATGCAAGAAGATATTTCTGTTTTCTGTGGTTTCACTAGTACGTGACTGTGGTTGGTACAACTAATAGTGTGTTGTCCAAGTGATCACCTTTGGGTTAACGGTTAATTGTCTATAAATGGCAGAGGAAAATATTGATGTAGTGGATGATACTCATTAATGTGTATTTGAAGAAACAGATGAGAAACTGATGGGCAAAAAACAATAAAATTCAATGAACAGGCAATAAATCAAGACATCTTGTTGATCAATAGGAAAGAAAACCCACCATATATTTTCAGTGGGCACAGAATTGAAATACTCAAATCAACCCGGGAAAGAGATAGGAAAATAGACATGCCCCCAGAGTTGCAGTACTAGGCCTCTCATGCATCATCCTCAGCTTGAGGCCCCACAATTCATTCAATGGCTGAACTGTTTCAATAGGCCTGCAGGATGCTCTTGTGTTCATAGTGATGATATTGTGCAACAGAGATCTTATTCTGTGCCTTGTTTCTTAATGTGCAATCCCAACATCCCCAGAAAAGGACAGGCAATGTTGATTCCCAATCTCATTAACACATATATAAAGAATACAAGATATAAAGGTGTAGCTCAACACATAATCAAGACTCCACAGCCCTAACCCAAACTCTGTGTTCTTTGGTTTTACAAGTATTGTTTGAAAAGTACATCTTTGTGATTTGTTCAAGTAATAACTATCTAGAAAGAAAAAGTAGTTAATGTTCAACGGTTTTTTGAAGTAACAGATGAAGAATTGACACGGATGAGTTCATACATTTTGATCAAAAAGGAAGTGAATCATGTGACAATAATAACCACAAATGCTAATGAAGGATAAGAGACAATTGATTAATGGAACCCAGTAAAAAAAGGCATGAGACAGCTCAATGATGGGCCTCTGGCTTTTTCACAAGTACTGTTTGTACTTTTTTGTGGTTTGTGCAAGTGATAATTATCTAGAAAAGTAAACTGAAAAAAATTCATTGGATTTTGGAATCAACAGACAAGGGATTGACACATGCATAGATTCATAAACTTTGATGAGAAAGAAAGCCGAGAAAACTGATTAATGAGATCAAATATTAAAAATAAAGAATTGAAAATATTAAGGAACACACCCCAGCTGGAAGAAGGCATGATACAACCTACTGATTATTTTACTTATTTTTTCCTGAAATGCAATAGTGCCCTTTGGGAAGTCCATACAACTCAGCTAATATATACTTTGGACCTCCCTGTCAGATCCTTTCACCTCCAGGTCAATGGGCTTTTTAAACACAATTGCACAGTGCTTTTGTAAAGTACTCACCACATAGCATTAAATTGATAAATATTGAAGAAGGATACAAAGGAAAGACAATCAGAGAAAGAGTCAACAAGGAAAGACAATTAATTCAGGAGGGATACTTGCAGGGCCACTTCAGATGAACACTTGAGCACATTCTGTTGTTTTTGCTTTTGCTTATCATGATAGAAGGTTACCGTACAAATCATATTCTCAATAAATGATAGAGGGAAATGGAAAAGATCCTGTATAAAGCACTGCAAAGAAAACAGTCCTGAAGTAAATATCATATGCAAATTATTTGAATGATCTTATTGATCAGATATTTTCTAAGTTGGTTGTGTTTAGTCTTTTTACTAGATTACTGCAAAGAAAACAGAGCTGAAGGATATATTGTATGGTAATTATTCAAACTACCTTGGCACTCAGCAGAAACAACCCAATCTTGAGTTTGAGACTCATCAATTAGAATGAACCAAAAATCAAAATAAAAAAATCGAATGGCGAGATCATCACAAATCTGACGTCCCATGTATGAATAGAGAAACACTGCTTTCTGGGACAGAGTCCCAGGCAACATGTCCAATATATTCTATTTTTGTCCATTATATATTCAACAAGAATACAGTGAGTCATTAATCACATGATTTTCAAGATATTTTTGCGTGGTTTGTTCAACCACTTGTCTGTGGTCTGTTCAACCACTTGTCTGTGGTCTGTACAGCCACTTTTCTGTGGCTGTGATTTTTGCACGCACTTGAATGTTGTTTGCACACATACTCACCTTGGTCTTTACAATCAATTATTGTCTGTGGATTTTAGCAGTAGCACTACAATGCAAATTAATGTTACATTCAATGTGTTTTATAAAAGTCCACAAGAACATGACTTCCAACCCAGGGACAAAAGAATATATTTCAATAACAGGTCAGAAAGAAAGACAATCATCAACCAACACCAGAAGCCAAACCACTCACAAATATTGTCAAGCAACAGATGAGGGATTGACTGGGTTAAGATAATTAAAGGAAAACAATATCTCATCAAGTTTCATCCATTCTTCCTCTGATTATGTGTCTGCTTAATCATATTTATATGGTGATGAATTGTCCTTTCCGCTCTATCTGAAAAAAGGAAATTGAAAGCATCATGTATGAATTACTGCAAAGAAAACTGCCCTGAAGTAAATACTTCATGCAAATTTTTTTGGCCTGTTATTAATCACAAGTGATACAAGAGCAAGACAATGCAATGAACTGGGTATATCCCACAGGAGGGATAACATCAAAACCCAACAGCACAAGTACAAATATTGCAACATAGTTCTCTAATAGAAGTAAAACTCAACGGGGCCCAAAGGGAACCTATTTCCAAGATCAACAATTAATTAGTAGATATTGATTATTAATGAGCTCAATTATTGAACACAGTAATGTTGTCTGTGATTTTACAAGTACTTAATCGAGGTTTGAAAAATTACTTGCTTGGGATTTCTCCAAGTATTCACCTTTGCTTTAACAACTAATTATCTAGGAATGCAGATCAGGAGAAAGATTGGGACACTGCATTCATTGTATGTTTGAAGTCACAGATCAAGGATTGACGGGGATAAATTAATATGTTTTACTTTGATTTAGGATAAGTAAGAAAGTAAATCAATGGTAGGTATTAGAAAGAAAGACATACAGCTATATTCACGGTGTATGTTGGATTCACAGAATCAAAATCATGGATATTAATGATGTATAAAGACAATCATGGAAATTAATAAGATAGGGAGGCAGTCAATTGATGAGCTCAACACATCACAATAAAAAAATAATAAGAGAGATGTAGAAGAAAGCATGATGTGACTCACTGAGCTTACACAGCCGCACTTGTGCCAATGACTTGTAGGAAAGTTATGGCCCATCCTGTTTCCTCAAATGCCACAGTGTCCCTCCTGGAGTGCAGCTCAGCCAAAAATAACTTGGACCTCCCTGTCAAATCCTGTCACCTCTAGGTCAATGGGCTTTTTTTGTCACTTTCGCTGCTTAATTCCAAAGTGCTTTTGGAACATACTCATCATTCAAGGACATGTACAGTATCATATTAATAATTATTTATCCAGAAAAAGGAAGCAAGACAATCAGACAAAGAGACACCAAAGAGAGACAATTAACTGAGAGAAACTCACAAGAATAAACAATTGGTAAGAAAGAAACTCTCAGTGGAAGAAGGCAGGTGAGGACACACCGGTTCATGTTCCAAGAACTTCTGGGAAAATAAATTGTTTGGTGAATTGAGAGAGTGCACCTTCTGAAGCACATACAACCCACCCAAAACCTCACTGGAACCTCCCTTTCAAATACTTTCACCGCAGGGTCATTGCACTTTTTCTTGGCCAATTCAGATTGACATTTATTCTTTTGCCACCAATGCTGCAGTGATTTGGGTGGCTGCTCAACCAGTGAGCCCAAATTGGTACTCTGACCTCCTTCTCAAAGTAATTCACCACTAGGTCAATAGCTTTTTTGGGGCATCCTTTGAACACATTGCTTTATTTTTCCTTTTCCTTATCAAGATAGTCAGATAATCTACAAATTATATGCTTGTAACAGCCCCTTTCTTACAAATCAATTTCAACCTGGAGGCATCAGTTATCCAGGTTGAATCTGGATAACTGCCTACTTCATCTTCCTGACTCATTTGTGATTTTTATGGCTTAAACTTTTCATTGGTTGCTTGTCATATCATGGAGAATTAATATTTCCGTATTGGTACAGCTTAATTTTCTATCTGGTTGCAGTTCATAACTTGGAAATTTAAAATTAAATAGTCTGAATACATCAACACATCATGCAAAATAACAATTACACAGTCTAGATACATCAACCAGCCACATTTTTTGTATTATTTTTCTACCTGGGCTGGATCAAAGTCTACCTCAGGAAATAATTCTCAAAAAATCAGGCAAAGGCCCAATGACCAATGGTCTACCTGGTCTACCTGTCCCCTATACGAGGTAGACAGGTAGACACCATTCGGCGCCCATACGCCTGATGAAAACACTAGGCAGAGGCCTCCTTATATAGTAAAATATGAGGGATTTTAGCCCCAAGGGACCCCCTGTATGAGACATTTTAGCTGCCCTATCCTTGTAAATCCTGAGGGATTTTTGCTAGACTATCTACAACGCATTCCTTTTATATGTAAGCTGTAAGAAAGGAATTCATGTGTTCTGTGGCTGAATAAATGGGAATTTAACTGGTACAACTGGTGGCCAACTTGTGGTTATGTAAGTATAAAAGGAGTTCAATATGAATAAAGGAATTCAATATGCATTATGCAATATACCCCCATGCAATATACCCTCCAGCTGAGTGCCTCTGATCCTGTGATTCTCCGTGTGACATCCTTGATCCGTGTAACTTCTGATCCAGTAGAGATATGAAGGTGGTTCCAGTGAGTGACTAGGGGTTAAATTGGCCGTAGATTCCATTTCTGACGCCCATTTGTCCATATCTTGAGTCCTTCATTGATAAATAATAAAATTTTGAATTTTTCTCCCTTCATACACAGGAATAATGACCACAACGTATGCAATGTAATTCATCATGCAATGCAATACTTGATGCAATATGAAGCTTATTATGCAATATGAAGCTTATTATGCAATATGGAGCTTATTATGCAATATAACTTGGTAGAATCTTGCTACCCTGGCCCTGGGGAGTCCCTTGTAACCCTAACCCAGCCTCTCTGACCCTTTACCCTGCCCTCTTGGTCGATCGATCAAGAGGACAGGAGTCCGAAAGGCTGCCAAGATGCTTGGCAGCCTCCCAGGCTGAGTACAAACGCCCCAATCCCCTCCAGATCAAACGATCTGGAGGGGA